GTGAAGGCCAGTATATTTCGAGTGGCTGAATTGGTTTACCTTTATGATAGCAACGATTTTGTATTTAATATAGCGAGATTATTTCAATTTAATTGAAGTGATATAATTTCCCAAAGCAATGCTTGAATCGTCTAGAATAGATCAGTGGTGTCAAACTCATGGGTTTTCGAGAGCCGCATTGCATTTTGAAAATTGTAAAAAGAGCCGCAAACAGTTTTTGATAATGTATACTTAAAAGATATTTTTAAGATGTGTTTATTTTGTGACATATATTGTGATGCAACTAAACAGTTGGATTAAGTTTTATTATTTTCTTCAATTTCAAATGCAATTACATATTAATATTTGCATTCCACTATTATTGCAACATTTGCAAGTTACAGTATTTATTATAAAAAATGGTAAAATTCTATGTACAACCATCAAAATCATTTTTGAACAAGCTTTGAATAAGGAAAGAATATTACATACACTAAAAATAACTTAATCTAAATATATGAACCTAAAATTAACAAAAATACTACAGTATAAACTCAATGTTTTAATAATTACATTTGTCCTGGCGTTTGTCATCATTTTTGTGTCACCAGCATACTAAGGCCAGTCTGAAATGATTTTATAGTACCAACTCTAACTAACGAGGCCACATGATCATGGGTTTATCTGGATCTTTACGAATGTTTAATTAATTCCAGTAATGCAAACAAGTTACTTTTATCATTTCATGTATAGATCAGTAAAAAAACAAATGACAGATTTTTTCGACAAGACATTTCGCACTACATTGCGTGGCATAGGATTGCTTGAATTATTATTGATATTGATTTTTAGTAACTAAGTCGTTGTATAATTTTAATAATATACAAACACATGGAAATTTTCTGTTCGAAGTTGGTCTTCGAATTTGTCATATTGACTGCTGAGCTTATTGTGTTTTTTGATTGTATTGATGGAAATATGACAAATTAAACAATGTGCTTCAGAATTTTGTGAAGAGCAGAAATGTTACAACTCCCATTTTCTTCGAAAATGCCACCTTCTTCATGTACTTTGCGTTTAATTTAATTACTCAAGTGTTTATTCAAGTATTCTTTTGCTAGCTTGATGTGTATTCTTAATTGGGTCAAAATGTGGACAAAAAAATCAATATTCCAAAACTACTTTCAGTAAATTGTTTTCTGTGTGAATAATCAATTTCACTTTAGAAGGTTTGAAAAATCTATTACATTTAGATAAAAATAAAAAAACTTCCAAAATACTATTACAATTATTGTTAAACGTTCGAGGGCCGCACTGGAAGTTCTCTGGGGCCGCGAGTTTGAGATCCCTGGTCTAGATTGAAGTTGTTCAAAAAATATATGATAGTATTTTATCATGAATGATGATTATACCCCTTCCGGAATTTCTTCTATAGTACTACCAAAAGTTGATGAACCAAATATAACACAGGTGCAGTGAGGTACCCGTAATCCTCATTTCCAAAGCTGTTTTAAGTATGTCTGGCGTGTTTTGTGCCTTTTTACAAATAAGACCGCTTATGCAATCTTACGCTTTGGAATTTTTAGTTATTTTCCTCAAGCCCTGCAGGATGTGGGGGCCATACACAACTCTACCGGAGGGTCAAATGTCTTTGCATGCCTCCATAGGTTGTTTTTCTATTGCAATTTTCTATTTTCAAATGCATTATATTTCTTGGAATCACACTGTCACTGATATGTCGCCAGACTTCTGATATCTCCCCGTCTGCTATAGTTGTCCTGTGAATAAATAATAGGAAATTGAGATTAGACGAATAGTGAAAGTTTTGCTTTATGTCGGCTTAATTTCTTGATTGATATACTTACTATTTCTGCTATTGCCTCTTGTGCTGCGAGAGTCTCACAATGTTTAGACAGGTTTGTCCACAACTTTCACATCTGAAGAAAGAGAGGAGATTTATTAATTTTCGTTAAGAATAAATAAAGCAGTCTATATGATTCAGAATGGAAAAGCTAATAAATCCAATATCTTATGTTTTATTTAAAAAATATTTTACTGAATTCGGTATATAAACCAACTAATAAAAGGGTTTAGTCAGAAAAATTACAAGCATTCGTGACTCCAAATACTTGAGAAATCAGACTATACAATATAGACCGGTATGAGTGAAATGTTAGGTGAACTTGTTAACACTTTGATTCAATACGCAAATAAAAGTGAATGCGTAATAGTATGTTACAATGAGCAGCAATCAACAATGAGTATATATCCTCACTGATTAAAAAAATCTAACTGGAGGTGCATGAACTATTTGAAACCATAAGGGGTAAGTAAATATGTAATTTCGGCAAATGGGCAACTACGTACCGTACTGAATTAATAACTTCGTAGTATTTGACAAAGGCTGGCTTTCCCACATGTACTTAACAGTGCGATGCCCGGGTGTGATATACAACAATAGTATTCACCTTACCTTTTACCGATTTCTTTTTACCCCAACTTTCAAAAATATCATTAAAATCGACAACAACTGTCAAAGCAGGCACGAACACCATTCGTGCTACGCCTTGAAAGCAGCACACATCCGCTCGTTTTCGTCTCGTCAAGTATGTGCATTGGAGCGTGCTATCGAATACGATCTTCGGACAAAAATGCCGGAGTTGCGCATCATGTTGTTTAATGTCATTGGTTAATCGTAGGTAACATTGATGGTACATAATGCCTCGTAGATAGGTTTGTGTCTAAATTTAGGAATATAGCTCATAGCCCACTAATTAATATTATCTTCTATGCAGGAGGTTGCAGGGCTGAATTCAACTTGCAGCCTTACCGATCACCTGATGATGCTCATTTAGTTTGGCTCGAGCAACTCTTCTTGAAAGACTTGTGTGAATGGAAACTACCTATATGTTTTTGCCTTCCTCCGATTTTAGAAGCCAAATTTATTTTGAGGGATTTCGCATATAATTCTCATTGATTGTTGGCTGTTTATAATTTCTATTAATTGTGAATTCTGATTATAACAAAGAGATAAAAAAATTTTTTTTACGTAATTTGGTGGCACCTTTTTCTTGTCAATACTCCAAGCTGAGGTAATAAACAACACAATACATTTATGTCATCTGGAAGCAAAATATGCACACTAATTAGTAGTTTGACACATTGAGATAATAAATACATCATGACAGAAAATACAAGTTAAAGATATGTATGACCATCACATGGTAATTAAAATTAAAAAAAAAATTAATAGGGGCTGTGGAGTATGAAAAGTTGAAAACAAGGATAGGAACAAAAGTTCATAGCTCATGAACTCTCAATTTTGCCTCCATTGCTTTGTGAAGGCCAAAATATTTCGAGTGGCTGAATTGGTAGCAACGATTTTGTATTTAATATAGCGAGATTTTTTTCAGTTTTGTTGAAGTGATATTATTTCCCAAAGCAATGCTTGAATCGTATAGAATAGATCAGTGGTGTCAACTCATGGGATTTCGGAAGCCGCATGCATTTTGTAAATTGTAAAAAGTGCCTCAAACAGTTTTTGATAATGTAGACCAGGTATATATGGACTTTGATGTAGACTTGAAAGATATTTTTAAGATAGTTTTAGTTTGTGACATATATTGTGATGCAACTAAACAGTTGGATTACGTTTCCGGTGCGGTACTTTCAAGTTGTTTTCAATCTACAACGTCTCGTTTCATTTTCTATTATCGTAATTTTAGATCCGAATATTCACCGATAAAAGCCGATTTCTTTAGAGCCGATAATGTTTTGATAGCGTGTGTTACACTCGTCGTAAATAGTCACGATAAATGTTATTCAGCATTCGTATGACGGTTTCTTTATTAAATGGACCTATTTAAATGTCGGTCGTGCATAAATCACGACAGAACACCGACTTGGCAATAGGCAACTTTGATTTAAATTAGTTTTGTTAAATTCATGAATCAGAACTTAATTGTGACAATTTTTCGCTGGATATATATTTTCTAATTACGCAGTATTTCACGCCTGCTCACAATTTTTCTATTTCGAACCATGCTCCCGTTACAAATGGAGAAATTGAAAATTGTAAAATCGAACGAAAATGCTTTTCTTTAATTGCCATTAAATTACATTTCCAACATTTGACGCCATGAATTCAAGATATATGCTAGCCAATGTTGATCCAATCAAACAAAATATCGTTGCTTTTTTCAAATAACGCCAACTCGTCCAAATCTATAACGGCGACGCAACACGACGTCGTCTTCGAAGTGAGCGACCTCATTGTGACGTCAAGTTCAACGTGTGCGTCAGATGCTATTATTTTAATAAAATAAAATATTCAAATATTAATTTTTCATGCGACATCTTGCGATCAGTCTAATTTTCTATATACATTGTTATCGCCCTCTATCGAATGACGGTAGTTTGAGGAAGTTAGCATCAGAAGAAGTCACGATTTGAGCCGCTCGAAAACGGAGTGTCAATTTTATCGTAAAACATGATTTTTTCAATCAAAAAATAAATCAAATTGCGCGATTGAATATAATAACAAATCTAGATATATGACGACTCCTTATAGAAACTGCCAGAAGCACAATATGTCGAGATATAAACGATTAAAAATTCCATACAAAGTTAGCCGGTTTGAGGTAAACTATTAATTTTAGTTATTCTGGTTATTATTATGTTTAGACTTGTAATAGAGCCCTTCAAACTATATGAACTGCCATCCAAGACGCGCAAACGAGCACCCGAAATCGAACAGTTATTTCGCTCGTTTTCTCGTCGCAACAATCCCAACAGGAGAGAGATCGATAACGCCAGTCAGATCTTTATCGTAGGCGCCAACGCATTTTCGGGCGATCGTACGTATATTCTGTTAATTTAGGCTTGCTTAAGATATTGTTTTGTATTTAATAATAAGACAGCTCAATAAACAGAAATAGGACCTACAGCGTTTGTGACACTATTTAATTTAAACATGTTAATTCATTTCAGATATATTGTATCGCACGAATTGTATCGTAAAATTGAAAATGTCAAGCCAATATCAAATGGATTCTGATGAAGAACCCCAAATTATTCATTCGGGAGAAGAGCTGTCAAGCTCTGAAGAGGAAGAGGCACCTTTGGTGGTGCTGGTAGAGGGAGGTGAAGAAGAAACCGAAACTGAAGAGGTTGAAGTATGAGAAGAAATGGAAGAAGAACAACAACAACCGTTAGAAGCCGAAAAGAAACTTGATGTCTGTATGTTTCCCGGCTGTGGCAAAATACTTCGGCGACAAAAACGAAGACATTTAATACAAGCCCACAATATCCCAGAGTCCGAAGTCGAAAGGTATATAATAATTTTACATCTTCAAATCGAAAATTAGTATGGTTGGCACCGGGTATATTCATGTCGAAGATAAGTGAAGCACAACCGGTGTATAGCAAAACGATATAATTTGCCGACGTTTCGAATTTTTAATCAGAAAAACTTTATCAAGGCATTCATTCACTCTTCACATCATGCCCTGATGAAGTTTTTCTGAATAGAAATTCGAAACGTCGGCAAATGATGATAGTTTTGCTATACACCGGTTGTGCTTCACTTATCTTCGATAGGAATAGCTTTGTTATTATAGACTACAAATCGCGAAGCCACCCCTAAAATGAGAGCAAAAATTTTACAGTGGTGAGTTATAGGGAGAATTTTACTCAGGGTAAATATTTCTAAGAATTCTTTGTCTTCGTTCTGGACGATTATTATTGCTAAAATCCATTTTATCGCTTCTTGGCTATTCAAATTTCGTTTCCTGACTATGATTATTGCTTCCTGTCATTCTGTTTCGTATGCAAATATTTACATCATATTTATTTTATTCAATTCTACAGATATCTTTACCGTCAAACCGGTGCCGCAATAGATTTTACCAAATATATTAGATGCACCATCTGCCATAAAGTTAATCTGAGAGCGACTGTGAGACGACATCTCAGGACCGTCCACAAATTAGAAGGAGAGGAGTTGGTAGACCCGTTAAGAAATATTACTCGAGAGTCCATATACTATGATGTGAGTATACGTGTTCATTATTCCATAAGCACATTCATACGATTAGTACACACACACATCCCTATCGTACAAGAAACTAAATAATTCGATGGTACTTTCTTTTCAGTTACTCCAAAAGTATGAAGCGGCACTGCAAAAAGGGTTATTCAACCAAAAAGCGAAGTCCCCGCAATTGGCAAAATACGCTGTGAACGAGTTGAAAGTGTATTTTAAAGGTGTCACTCCAATTACTATACACCAGCTACTGGAGATCAACAACGAAAAATCGACGGCCCTGAAATACAGACACCTTATAGCCATCAAACACTTTTGCAAATGGGTGCGGTTTAATGGCTATGCAGTAGCTGGTGTAGATTTTAAAAAGATACTTGATGGGATAGAGTTGGCCTCAGCGTCCGCTAGCCGGCAGAAAAAACAGAAAACCACTCTAAAAAACGTTACGGACCAAGCAAGAATGGATAAACTTTTGGGACGTGTCATCGAGTAAGTAGCCTACTATATTATTTCTTAAATTAATAAACATAAAATTCAAATTCTATCATAGCCTAATCTGTTAAGGTTTGCGAAATAATCGATTTTGCAAAATTCCCCTCATTGTGACAAATTTATTTGGTAGTATTAACAATACAACAGTTTTTTTAATTTTCAGTTATGCATTTTTAAATGCTTAACCTAGCTTTACAATTTCTAAAAAAAATAATTTATTTCCCAAATAACTTTTCATATTACATATTACTCGACGAATATTCACAAAAGTTAAAAATTTTGTTGGCGAAACTGTTAATTCCGTTTACTTACATTCTAATGTATGATGTGTCAATGTTCAACATTTTAAATAGGCCAAATTGTTATGGATGCAAATAAAAAAATTATGTTACAATTCAACATATATATATATATTATTCAAATTCGCTTGTTTTCAGGTATTTCAGTGGTCCTAAATACAAAGAGGCCATGGAAGACATCGACGTCAGACCCGTCTCTGAGAAAACCTACCTCACCTGCCTTGGCCTGTTTGTAGCTTGCCATATCCTGGAACGCGGCGGAAGAGTCGGCTACTTTTCATGTATGAGCTCAAACAGTCCAGGGAATATGAAGACGGAGCTTTGGTCCAGATAATAGTCGAAGAGCAGAAAATTAAGGACGAGGTAGGTTTTCTCACGATGACACGAGAAGACCACGATATGTTTTTAAAGGTAAGAAAACTTCATAAATGCATTCGCTTCCATTGGACTCACAACTCTACAAAGTATACCATAATATTCAAAAATATTTAAAAAAAATACTGTCGATACTACAAAATATATTTAACTATCGATAATCATTTCTATTTTTATTTTTAGCTGGCCAACATGTATCAAAATGTGAACGAGAGAGACGAGAACGACTATGCATTGATTACCCCATCAAAGAAAAAAATTCATGTCGACAAATCCGTAAGATCCACACTGAAGAAAGTATCAGTATTACTTTGATGAGGAAAATGACGGAGACCCTGGCCTCAAGCATGCCGGAACACCAGCAGCGTGATGTGGCCAGGGCAATGGGACATTCTTTAGAAATTGCTCGTAAAAATTATCATTTACTGCACAAGGGGCACACAGCTTTGCGCGGTTCCAAAATAATAGCTCAAAACTTAATGGC